TGGGGGATGCTTATTTCTGGTAACTATGATCACATTCTGTGCCCCAGACCTCCCCTCGAAGTACAGGGAAGTCACCTACCAGCCTTGCTTGGTGATGTTCATCCAAAGCCTTCCCTTCACACACTCCCTCAGAAATGGAGATTTACACATCCCTGTGCCTGGTGGAGAGCAGGTGGGAGAGGAACAAAGGTGATGGTGTTTAGTGGGTGGGTTTCATGTGGGAAGGATGAAGTACTTGTGCCGATGGAGAGTGGAGATGGCAGCACCACAGTGTGAAGCTGATGACAATAAAGAGAATTATGACAGCCTCCCTGTTGATTCAGCAGAACATGGCTTTGGATCCTCCTCTACCTCCAAGGACTCATGTGAATAGTGTCAATATAGCTGAACAGATTTCTGTGTGTGTGTGTGTGTGTGTGTGTGTGTGTGTGTGATGGGGGCATAGGGAGAGTGTTAAACAAATCATAAAATTCCCCATGTTCCCCATCTAACATATTCTACTTACTGGCATCAACATCACACTGTGGAGCCCCCATCCCCACTCTCCATCTGTACAAAGGGTTGCTCTTCCCAACCTAAAACTCTCCGCAGTAAACAGTGTCCCCGTGTCCCTTCTGTCACCTTCTGGTCCCCCATTCCATATTCTGTTTTTAAATCCTACTAGCTCATGAAAATATTGTCCTTTTCTCTCTGACTGAAGTGTCTCCCCGGCTTATCCATGTTGTAGCACAGCAGTTTCCTGTCTTTAAGGGTGACTATTCTGGCAGCTTGTCATGAGGGAGCAGGAGCACTCAGAGAGGAGGAAGGAAGTTCTTTATTTACACTGACAGCTTCACACCAGCAGCCTGGAGGAGATCTCTCTCCACAATCTGAGCCCCAGCAACTAGGTTACAGAGTATTTATTAAGTAAATCAAGGAACACAGCAGCTGGGGATGCGTGACTCAGGGCGCGTGTGGCCTGGAGGGCGCTTCTCCGTTGTTCCCTGAAATTCTCAGTCTACAGGCTCTGTCCCGACTTCAGCTCATCCACAGTCATCCTGACATTGTCCACTTCATTTCCCCCTTTTTAATTTTTATTCCATCATATCTTTGATGCATAGATCTCAGGGTACAGCCTTCGAAGACAGTTTTTTTAGGGTTCCAGTGTGTGTGAAAGAAACTACAGTCAGTCACCAGGCACTGCACAGTGTACCGTTTTTGTTTCGTCTTCCTGGACTTTCTGACCTCCCCTCGGGTGTATGTGTTGGTTAGTACTTAGAATTTACTGTCCTTGTCTCAGAAGCCTCTTTAAGTCTCCTGAAGTCCCTGCCCCCACTGTCCCTGAAGCTGCCTACTTAACCCTGACTTGCCCTGGGGCTCCCTACCCCTTGTACAGATGGAGTCCCCCACTGCTGTTAGGACAGAGGGCGTTGATCTGACCAGTACCCGCCTCCTGCTGAAAATGGTTACGCTGTCGAGCAGTCAGGGCTCCACTGCAGGGCGGCGATCTAAGGGCCCTGGGAGGAAAGATGGTGGAGGCATCCTATCAGCCTCCATCTGAAGGACCATCAGACGTCTGCTGGCTTTGAGGTGACAGGAGATGATTCTGATGAGGGTGTTGAGGATGCAAGGCCCAAACAAAAAAATATAAACAAAAATTAGTGAGGGATCCAGCAAGAATAGCAACCAGGGCAGAAATTGGTTTCCAATAGAGGCCAAGAATGATTGTAGCCTACTAGGCTCTTGTCCTGCCTGTGATGCCATCTGTAATACAGATATTTTTTAATAACTTTAGGTTTTCTTTTATCTCACTGCAAGTGTTAAAGTGTCCTGGCTCAGGCTAGTCATCTCTAGGCCAGTCTAAGTAGAATGCAACAAGGAAGAGTACAAGGCCCCTGATTCACCAAGTAGGTTTTGGGTTTCTTTTTTTTTTTGGCCTGCCACTTTTAGGTCATCTGATGCTTGTCTCACCTCTGGGCTTCTTTAGGAAATGTCTTCCGCTGTAGCTGGTTTCGTAGTCAGAGGTGGCTGATGGTCAAACCTGCCCTCCCATCTTGGCCTGTGGTTTGGGCTGCCCCCGTCTCTCTCAGAGAGAGGAACAGTCCCTCTTGCAGTGCCCTGTGCAGTGGCACTGAGGACACGACATGGGGGTGGCTTCTTCAGACACTCGTGGCTGAGGTGTCCCGGCTGCTGGCAGTAGAAGCAGGATAGCAGCCCCCGAACATGGTGAGGTCCCAAATGCCTGGGACAATGTGGCCTTGCGGGAGTCTGAGGTGGTGGGAGGATGGCAGTGCCAGCTGCCATACTGGGCCCTTCTCTTGTCCTTCTCCCTATTTTTTCCTTTTTTTTTTTCCTCAGCCTGACCAGTCTCCTCCCTGTCAATGTAGGTCTCAAGACCATGTCCAGTCACTTGTCGTTTTACATTTTGTAGTGAGTCACTGTAGCACATACACATTTGTTTTCCCTATGATCCCTCTCCCAAACCTGAACACTTTCTTTGCTTTCTTACTTTAACACTTGCTTTTGCTTTCTTTACTTTTCTTTTTTTTTCTTTTTGGTTTTTAATTTTGTATATTTTTTATATTGTTTTTCATTTTCATATAATGTATGCATTTATACCTTGGTTATAGTCCCCATACAATTGCCACCACCCTTGTTTTGCTCATACTCCCTTCTCCCCCACCTGGGGTGTGTCTCTGATTTATAGTTGCTTATTGATTTTGATTTTTACTTTATTATAATTAGTTTTTCCTGATCCCTTATTTAGGTTTTCTAAATTCCTGCTATGAGTGAGACCATCCGGAATTTTTCTTCTTCTTTCCGGTTTATTTCACTGAGCATGATCCATTCCAGGTCCATCCATGTTGCTGCATATTGCATGTGTTTATCTTTTTTGATTGCTGAGTAATATTCCATGGTGTATATATACCAAATCTTCTTGATCCAGTCATCTATTTTTGGGCATTTGGGTTGTTTCCATAGCTTAGCTATTGTGAATAGTGCTGTGATAAACAAAGGGTTGCAGGTGCCCTTTTGATTTAATGTTTCTGTGTTCTTTGGGTAAATACCTAGGAGTGGAATTGCCGCATCGTATGGAAGCTCCATCTTTAGCAGGTTGAGGAATCTCCACACAGCTCTTCATAGTGGGTAGACCAGTTTGCATGATCACCAGCAGTGCAGGAGCGTTCCTTTTTCTCCACAACCTTGACAACATTTGTTGTTGCTAGTTTTTTAATATGTATGTAAGGTGGTATCTCATTGTAGTTTTGATTTGCATTTCCCTGATTACAAGTGATGCTGAATGTTTTTTCATATGCCTATTGGCCATTTGCATTCCTCTTTGGAGAAGTTTCTTTTAAATTCTTCTGCGCATTTTTTGACTGAGTTGGTTACTTTGTTTTTGTTGAGTCTAGTCAGCTCTTTGTAGATTTTTGTGATCAGTCCTTTATCATTAGTGTTGTGTGCAAAAATTTTCTCCCAATCTGTGGGGTGTCTTTTTGTTTCCATTATTGTCTATTTTGCTATACAGAAGCTCTTTAACTTGTTGTTAACTAGCTGTTTATCTTTCCCATCACTATCACTGCTTTGGGTGATGTGTTTCTAAAGATGTTACTGAGGTCTATGTCATGTAGTGTTTCGCCTATTTTTTGTTGATGTATTTTATGGTTTCAGGACTTATGTCTAGTTCTTTAATCCATTTTGAGTTGGTTTTTGTACTTGGTGTGAGGTGGTACTCAGGCTTCATTCTTTTGCATGTAGTGACCCAGTTTTCCCAAACTTGCTTTTGTCTTTTCACTTCTTGCTTTGTCCTTTTAACACTTTGTTAAAATTTCTTTTCCTTGCTCAATGTCAGACCTTCAACACTTGCTTTTGCTTTCTTTAAACACTCTCACTATCTTTTAGACTTTTAACACTTGCTTTTACCTTCTTACTTTTTCTAATATCCTCATTCATACCTTGAAAATGTCCATATTAAATATTTTTTCTTTTAAATGCACATGTCACTTTATTTCATTTATGATTATGACAACCACTGTGTTTAGTAAGACATTGCAATAGCCATGATATTAATATCTCTTTGAATTAGATGACTTAGATGGAAACACATGTTTTTTAAAGAGAACAGTTTTCCTTTTTTACAATTAGAATTCATCTCAGTCCCATATGCATAGAACCCTGATTGTCAGACTCTCTCCGAGAGACACCCTTGAGATGACTGGTGCAACCACAGTTGTTGGGCAGCCACGTGTGTGAGACCTTGCTCCCTTGTTTGTGGATAGCTCACTTGCTACAAGAGGCCTTCCAGGACCTTTTTCTGAGGCATGAGGGATTGACCCCTGGAACATTACTTGTGTGAGCTGTTTATTTTAGTTGGCATTC